CAGTAGGCCAGTCTCCTAGCATCAAGTTAACAATGAGTGGTAGCCAACACACCCAGCATCAGTGACCTGTGAGAGTCTTTCTTCTTAATTGCTGAGCAGTTAGTTTGTTGTTCCAGGCACTGCAATCCTTAGATTTCTTCTGTGCCTCATAAATGGCAGCCCTCGACAGCTCTTGTATTTAAATTAGATTTCTCTGTGGGTAGCTCCCAGAATAATAATAACACACAGGGGACAGTTTGTGGCTAACCTTCCACTTATCCAGCCCTCAGCTTTTGAATGTGTAGATTACAACAGGAGAGGAATACCTACAAAGTCCATCAAGTCGTATTCTCATTGTGACTGCTGTATTTCACAGCATGCGTTATAAACCGGCTACATCACATACGTATGGATTTTAGTAAATAAAGATGTTACTGTAAAAGAAGCTTATTGATATTGTAATGTTGACTAATACACTGATCTTCAGACTGCCTTTCAGTTTATTTTTTTACCGACTTCCCATCGGATTTACTAGGACTTATTCTCTCTACTTTGGTATGATATTCAGCCATAAATTTATGACATATTTCTAATTTAAAAACTTCATATAATAATAATATTTTGTTCTAGCTATTCTTCCTAAAAAAAACCCTAAACATTTCTCTCTACATTGTCCTAAATATTATAGCCTTTACTTGCATAAAGAAACAAAAAAAGTGGACATCACACTGTTTGTAGTTTTCTTTCTTTGTCCATCTGCTAAAGCGTAAAGAAGGTAGGTAACCTATACATCTAGTCCTGTGCATTTTGTTCTTGAAGATTCTGTGACATTTAAACTCAGGTTCCATTTCTGGGGCCAGGAGCATTCTGCATAAGTTATAAACTAAACTCTCACTTTTTTTTTTAAAGAAAGGATCTCACTATTCCTCACTCCTGGCTGGTCTCTACACGACCAGGCTGGCTTCCAGCTTCCAGAGCTCTGTCTGCCCACTTCTGCCTCTCGAGCACAGGGCGTAAGTGTGGAGCACCACTCGTGCTTCATGAGCATCTTGAGTTGGAGGTTGTGTTGCTTTTCTCTGAGACCTCAGTGTCAAAGTTTCTAAATAACTTGTAAAAGCCTCTGATGGTGAGCTGCTTTGTTTTAAAGAATCCTTTCAGAGGAAAGGAAGAAATCTAGCTTCTAGCACTGACTCAAAGAAAAACCCATATTGCTTTGATGATAGAATGGGGAAATGCTTCCCACTGTACACTGCAGTAGAAGTCTCTATTAAAAGGCAACTGGGGAATTAAGTTAGAGACGGGAACTGCAGGAGGCTGAGGCAGGAGCCTTAGCTCACACAGCATGCTGGAATTGTTCCTGACTGCCGTTTTAGAGACAGACATTCGATTCATTGGTTCCTAAATCATTCACTATCTTCATAATACTTCCAGGTTAATTATTGAAGATGGATTCCACTAAATTGTTTTATTTTCAAAAAATCAATGTCAAGGTGGTTAGGTCTTAAAGAGACTAATGCACAAAATGACTCATGCACAAATGTAATTATTACTTAAATTTAAATCTAGCATAAACTTGTAATAGCCAAACTGTATGTATATCAGCCCATAAAGTATATTGTCCCATAATATTAAAAATACTCATTGTCACAGAATGCTCTAAATTAGCATTTCCCAACTATTCTGTGTTTTCTTTTTCATTTTAGAGTATTTTTTCTTTCATTTTTTTCTTTATTTTTATGTGCATTGGTTTTTGCCTGCATACATGTCTGTGTGAGGGTGTCACATCCCCTGGAACTAGGATTACAGATGGTTGTGAACTGCCATATGGGTGCTGGGAATTGAAGCCATGCTCTCTGGAAGAGCAGCCAGTGATCGTAAGGGCTGAGCCATCTCTCCAGCCCAAGAACTTTATCACTGTTCACTACAAGGGTACAATAAGATGACCATAGGAACAAACAAAAGTGATGAATGTTAATTGACTCAAACAAGTGAAGTTAATCTTCCTAGGCAAATCACTAATAACAACAAAAAGTGTAATAATTAAAAGGAGAGGTGCCATCAGGCTAGTGTTTCCTGTGTGTTAAGTACTGTGCTTAGTAAAGTATTCTTTTATCTAACTACCACAGGGATGTTATAAGATAGGCAGTGTGAGAATTCACAGAATTACTTCTCTATATAACACAGATAAGACCCATGGGTCCTCACACTCATGCCTGCACCTTTGCAGTTTGGATCCATGCCTATAGCCGGGTCCCTTCAGAGTGGAGCTTGCTACTGTGTCAAAGTCAAGGCAGACTCCTGTGTCTTATACACACATTATGGCATTAAAGGATTCTAAATCCAGTTTTACAAGTGCTATGCTAAAAGTGATCTTTGCTTATTAAATAAGCATTTACCTAAGCTAAATTCTTATCATGTATAAAAATGCTAGGCAATTTCATCTTTCTTGCTTGTTCATCATAACCTGTCCCACAAGACCGTTATCACCCTTGGTATTCTAACACATAACATGGTGGAGGTGTCATGTGTGGTGAAGACGCTGTTGCAATGTGCAGTGCAACCTATCATCAGGTCTGCTAGTCATGCATCACTGTATCTTCTTTGTCTGACTGTTCATGTTTTTCTGGCCATTTTTGTCAGAGTCGAGTCAAAGACAATAATTTACAATTATAAAAATTTGAAGCGTATTATTATTGTGTAAATGATAATAATTCCATGAAAACTTGACATTGAAATTCAGTCTTTCTGTGAAATTCTTTCTATGAAATGTTGTTCTGTTTTGTTTTGTTTTGTCTTGTTTTCCATATTTTACGCTAACTTTGAAGATTGGGTACAAATGGCATTGACGTACATGTACATCATTGTTGTTTTTTGCTTTTCTTCATCTCCTCCTCCCCCTCCCATCTCAGACAGCTTTGTTTCTGTTAGAGTCTCTGGGTCAGTTCTGTTACAATGTTGATGGGGACCCAGAGCTTACTCTAGTTTGTCAAACTGATTTTCTGATATGTCCACATTGAGTCAACATTTGAGCTTCATATGCAAAATGTTTTACTTTGGCAAATGAGGAAAGCAAGAGATGAGTAATTACTATGGATCCCTCTTATAAATTTCTCATGTTATCCCCATCATTGGTCCTCTTTAGAACAAATGTTCTGTGTAGCAGTCCTGTTTCCACACCACTATGTACTCACACCAATTCATCAGAATTCCAGTACTCATTCAGCTAAAAACTCAAGTCAGTTGTGTCAGGTGTTGCTTTTTAACAGTCACTTGCCTGCAAGTGGACTCACTTGCTCTGACCACTACTATTTTGATGTTTCCACTTAGAAGTGAATGACACTGTACCTCCTTCACACAGCTCTCACTGAAGATGAGGGAAGCATCAGGCATCTAAATGTCTTCCTTTCCTCACTTCCATTTGTTCTTCCTCCCAATAAAAACTCCATGTTCAATTTTAGTACCATGTCTTAAAAAGTTAGGATATGAAGAAATTGATGGGGTAGATTGGCTTTGGTCTCTTGGTTCTGTTTATGTGGTATTCAGTGTTGTCCTCTGTTTGACATTGCTGTCTGTGTAATGCCACATGCCCCTATCACTGAATTGAAGGTGATTGAACAACACCTTCAGTTAAGCTTCATGAGGTGACTGTCATCCTAGCCACAGTCAGCTGACAGATTTGTAGCTGTAGCTGTAAGATATTTATGTAAAGAATCTTTATTTAATTAGAAAATATTCAGGCCCCCCCTTAGTTAGGTTCTATAATAGTTTCCCATTGGACAACTAAAGCTCCATTGCTTATGGGGAATGAGAATATTTTTTTATTTCAGGATTTCTATGATCAATTATGGTTTTAGTAAGCATTTCTGATTTTTTTAAGTTTAAAAGTGACATCTTATAACCAAATTATTAATGATACTTAATTTGATTGTCTGTTCCAACCAAATGAAATCTCAAATTTTAATAGTCAAAATACAAATATGTTTAATATTCAGATCTACATCAAACAAATCCTTTCATTATCATTAGATTAAATATTTTTATTACATAATGAGTGGAGACAGGAAATTAGAATATTTAGATTAAGTGAATAGAGAGAATGGGACTTGAATTATTATAAAATTCTAGCTTTATGAATTAGAGCAAAATCTCTATTTTTCTTACCAATAAATATTATTTTATCTTATTAGAATAATAACTTTGTGAAGACTTTTCTCCATGTAAAGATTTGTTACATTATTGATTATTTGATGTTGAATACAATATTTTTTAATGGCCCTAATTTTGATTAGGAGTATAGAACAAGCAACATTTGTATTGACTCACCAATACAAATATGTCTTGTCTGCATTGACCTGCCCAAGGCCATTCACAGAACAGCTTTACTATGCAATAGTGTCATATAATTCAGGAATAGCAACTCAAAGAAGGCTTCTTGTCAGCTTATCTGTTGGCTAGTGGTACCTTATTTTATACACACATGTTTTAAGAATCCAGTCAGTGGAGTGTGTCTTTTTCTAAATTGTCAATTATTGATTAGCAGAGAACATCAAATTGTAGGTCCCATTTGACAAATGCCTTTATTTGGAAGTAAACAAAGAATTGTAGTTTTCTTATTAATTCAATCTCATATAAAAACCAGGAGATTACACAATATATTCAAAAGGTTAGTCCTCACCGCACAGTTTGTGTGTGATATGTTTAATTAATTATCTTACTTATATCATAGTTATTGCTACATGTGTATCAAGCATAGATTTACTAACATTGACTAATTGAAGGCAATGTTTTTATAAGGAGAGTTCATTGGACCAATGATGTTTGGGATACAGTTTGGCTAGAGTTCCCAAAAGTACTGTGCATCTTCAGTTGAGGGTTTGGATTGAGTCTTATGAATGGCAGAATGAAAAGTAGCTCGTCTCTGACTGTGAGGGTAACAGAAGGGTCATTGGCAAGCATGTCCCCCATAGATACTTTACAATATTTTCTATCATAAAGGTGTTTATGTCTGTCTTCTCTTCCAGTTCTGCATAAGCAGCCCCGAGAAGTGTGTCTCTGTTTGCTAGAGCTTGGTCGGATTGCAGCCAGGTAGGTAAGACCTCTCTTGTCAAGACACAGACACATCTTAGCCTCAGGCAACCAAAGTATGCTGGCATCTCATTGCTGACATTTTAACAGATGCTAAGAAGCCATTTTGCAAATGGAATTGCTTGGATCATATTGAGAACTGTAGTTAACAGTATGCCTCTACTATTGTCGACACTGCTTCACGTGGTCAGGACAGTCTTTGTCATGGATATCCTTAAATGAAGTTCATTTTCTTTCATGCCTTAAAAATGTCCATAGGTTTTATGTGCCTGCTTGTCTGGATGTGCATCCATTTAGAAGCCTGCAGAGTCTAGAAGAAGACACTGGGCTCCCTGAAACTGGAGTTGCAGGAAGTTTTGATATGCCCAGTGTGGAGCCTATGGAAAATCAGAAAGAGCTTATAGCCACTTAGTTATCTCTGCAGGTCCTTGCTTGACACCGTCTGGGACAGTTTACTCAATGGGAAATCTTTTCTCTCTTATTTCCTCCCCTTCATCCCTTATTCTCTGTTTAATAATTTTAGTCTCCCATTTACATATTTTTGAGATTCTCTTGTCAGTTTTCACCCTTCAGAGATTTTACTTTTGAGTTGAATGGGGCTGTTTTTTATATAATTTTCTATGTTTTTAACAGAGACACTGGGTTTTATTTTTATAAGATTTTTTTAAGTAAATGTATGCATCTTTGTATATGTGAAGTTCTGTGAATGTTTGTGCAGGTACCTGCAGAGGCCACGCGAGCTTGTCAGAGTCCCTGGAATTGAAGTTATAAACAGCTATGTGCCTCCCTATGTCAGTACTCTATCAAAGTAGTACTTACCCTTAATCACTGAGCTATTATTTATCCAGCCCCCTTTATTCTTATGTGAAGATGTGTTATGGAAAGTTTTCTTTTCTTTTTTTTTCCTGAAAATTTTCTTTCTTTCTTTTTTATTGGATATTTTATTTATTTACAATACAGTTGTCATCCTCTTTCCCCATTTCCCCTCCCTAGAACCCCCTATCCTATACCCCCTCTTCCTTTATGCTTTTATACCATTTTGATTACATGCACATATTAAGGTCAGTTCTAGTTTGAGGGTCTAGCAATACAATAGATGCAAACAATCGAGTAACAAGCAATATAATAAACATAAATAGTCAAAGAAAAAGCAAGGCATTAACCCCAATTATGTGAACACTCTCATGATCACTGTTTCTGAAGGTTTATCAGTTGACCAAAGTATCTGAGCCTACTTCCCTATCCTAGCCCAAGGTCATTTTCATGTTTGAAGCCTACTTCCTGTTCTAGCCTAAAATTTAGATTCCTGTCTGAAATTACTTCTTTGTTCTAGCCTAATATTTAGATTCCTGCCTGAGATTACTTCTTTGTTTGTAGCCTATGATTTAGATTCCTACCTGAAATTACTTCTTTGTTCTAGTCTAATGTCAGATTCCTGGTTGAAGCCTACTTCCTTGTCCTTGGTCAATGTTATATCCCTGCCAAGCAGCCCATTTCCTTGTCCTTGGCCCATGTCAGCTTCTTACTAAGTAGCCCCAAAGACTCTCCACCTCTCACCCTTTTTAATTTTTTTAACGAGACTGAGTCTGTCTTAGGTCATTCTGACAAGAATGCCTTTCTTACTCATTATGGAATATGCATTATCAAAAGCAATGCACTTATGTCTTAGGTTGGTAAGGCTCTGTGCAGAATGTTACCCGTCCTTGGCTTGCCAGCCTGTTAATAACTCTGTCTGCTAGCACCACTGCTTCTGCAATAGCATTGACATAAGGAGTTAGGAAAGTAGTATGTGGTATAATTATATGATTTAAATATAAGAAAAGCGCTAGATTCTACTTTGTGCCTAAACAGTACAAACAGATTCATTAGATGGTCAAGTTTTGAGAACGGAATATAGCCACTGGAAGACTGCCTCTGCAGGAAGACTGACTCCTCAGAGTAGCTGGGTCAGTTACAGTCCTCATGTGGCTGATAGTCATTTTTCTGCTTTCGGCATTTTATTTTACAACGGTTTTTCATCACAATACTTTAATTTAGAAAGAATATTTCTAGATATGACCACTACCAAAACTAAAGCCTAGCTACTAGTTGTTGATCTGACAACAATTAGCTTTGACATAGGAATGTAAAACTAGTGTACATCTTAGTTAATGAAGAAAATAGCAATATATTTATCAATTTCAATGTAAAATGTCATATGAAGAGTTTCCTCCTCACTATAATTAGTAAAGTAAGTAATTATTCAGTCAATTAGTTTATTTTGAAACAAAATACCCTGTAGGTCAATCTGGCCTCATATTCTTTGTATAGTTTAGAATGATCCTAGCATCCAACTTCAACTTTTCCAGGGTTAAGACTGTAGGCATATACCCTTGGGAGCACAGGGTATTAGGGATTCATCCTAGGGCTTTCATGTATAGGTTGAACACTCTATGGTAACCTACATCTGAAGACCAGCACAGATATTTTAGGTAGTGATTACTGTGTATTGGTCTGTACACACTCACATTTTATGACCATATGAGTTAAGATAAAGGCTACATTTGTTCCAGAAAATACACCATGGAAATAAGTACCTCAGGGTAGAGTTGAGATAAAGATCACCCTGAAATTGCAATATTTAACTTTCGATTATATTTCTGACTCCTTCAACTGAGTGAGACTTGTGAAGCACTTTATACTGTTCAGCACAAAAGAAAATGGGGAAATGCGTTCCTCTTGCTGTTACTTTCCTTAGACAGTTTTATTCAGGTAAAAAGGTCCACTTGTTTCTTTCTGAACATATCCAAGCTATTTGTTTGGTTGTACTGGAAGCTCCTGAAGTAAGATAGCATGAAGGATAGATAACCCAACCCACCTTGTCTCATTTCACTTCTAAGCTCCCCCTGAGGTTTAGATCTAGATTTAGATACTTGACCTCACTCCCTCCTCTCTTGTGTCTGCTACTGAAGATCAGATAGATTAATGCATTTGAACAATGTTGGCCCAAGGAGTGGTTTTCAGGGAACACCCAGAAACCACATTCATCTTCTCCCATAAAGATGAGTTTGATTCTACTGAAGTTCCTGAAATATCTTGAGTTTTGTGTTTTTTTCACTAGTAGGAGATGCCTCCTTATATTCCATTCTAAGTGATACCTCCAGATTTCACATGTATGTTCTTAAGAACACCACCATCGCTTTAGAAACAATGCTGGGAACCTCTGCTATACTTATCTGCCTACGGATATTCAGCAGAACTCTTTCAAGAACTGAGGCGAATCTGGGCTCTGAGATGGTGACATTACTTCTGTTCTCATTGTAAAATTTCTTTGCGTTTTAACTAAACAGAACTGTCATTGTTGGATGGTAAAATATCTCTCCTAGTAGATCAGAAAAGTACACAATTCTGAATTCAAAAAAATATCGCATTGACCAATGCAACTCAACAAAATCAAGATTGTTTTGACCAATACTTAGTATTAATTTATGCAAAATGAAAAAGTAAATAACTAGTATTTCAACATCTTTTCTGACTGCAAGATTAAGGTTATCTTCATGATAAAAATGAAAGCTTCTGAAATGGTAATTTGGGTGTCAGTGGCACACCGCATCATCTCATGACTTTGGGTTTTGCAGTTCTCTTGATCCAGAACAAGTTAATGACCATTCAAAGGAAATATTTTGAGGACATTTTCTTTAATCTTCTATTTCAGTCATGGTCTAATGAAATGTTACTTAAAAGAAAAGTGATCATGTGTTAAGATCAGTAATGGATTCACTTGGAGGACCTGTAAGGACTGCTGGGAGTTTATGCATCCTTTCCCATGGCTGGGGCATTTTCCACATATACATCTAAGTTTACATTGTCTTAAAATAGGAAAAATGGGGCAAAATTATCTGGTAAGAATCTATAAACCATCTGTTACGTGCCTTACAAAAATGAAGTTTCATTAGTCTATAAAATTTGTCCCCCGACCCTACTACAATGGAACACAGATGTTTCCTGTTGGAATGTACAGACTACTAAATAGTTTGAATAGATTTTCTAGGTCAGGAATGAGTTTGGGGTGTATTCCTTCCAGTTAGCTTAATCCCAAACACTGCATCCTGTGCCAGCAAAATGAGAGAGCCATCCCTGTACAGTTGCCAAACCTTGACTGTATTACTTTTTAGTGAGATGAAAGTAAGTGTTCAGCCTCTGAGGATTTAGACCATATCCACCCTGCAGGAATCAGGACTTAGCTTCAGTGAATTCAACTTCCTTGATGACTCTGGTTAGATCCTTTAATGAGGCTTAGAAAAAAACCTCCCTTCTCCCCAAATTCTATCACCCTATTCTAAAAAACATTAATTTGTAAAAACATTATAGAAAGAATGGGCATGTGAAGAGGTATAAAAGTTACTGATACCAAGCCGAGGTTGCCTTTTGAAGAACAAATGCATTTGACAACTAAGTTGGCTTGTAGGTGCAAGCCTCCAGCCTTGGGGTGGGTCATGATAGCCTGCTGATAGCCCAAAAAAGGACAGGAAGCCAACAAATCATATTCATCTGCATTCTGCTACTGCCCAACTCTACCCTGAACAGCTTGAAGAATTCAAAAGCCAAATTAAGCATCGGATTGTGGGCTTGGTACTGACTTTCTGAGTCAGTGGCACAACTGATTTTCAGCTCTCTCAGGTAAAGAAGAATCTCCAGGGAAACATTTTCCATGTGTGTTTCTGTTCTAAATTCATCAGAGCTTGCCTGTCTGTTTTGTGTTGGACATGAGATGAGCCTTTTGCTGTTTTAATAGCATTTTTGCTATTTTATTCTTTTAAGGCAAAGTATATGTCCCTTGTTCTTGGGAGGTGGCCATCGTCCACCTATGGGTGAATATAAAATATTTTCTAATCTATTTACATTTTAAAATATGTTTTTACTTACAACTAATGTGAATTTGGGATGATCACAGTGTCTCAGATTCCTCAGACTTAACCAGGTTTATATTATTCTCTTGAGAACATTCAAGGCAGGCAAGATTTATACCTTAATGGAGCTAAGAATCCACAGAAGTCTAACAGCTTAGACGGTTGCCTTCCAAAGACTTTCTGGCCTGTTTGGAAATCTGACGTTGTTGTGAATCAATTCTGGTGATAGGATAGAATCCATAGTATACCATATGTCTTATAATGTTGTATTAATTGGTTTATAAATACAAAAAGGTAGAAATACAAAATCTGGTAACCAAATCTTTATAGCAACTGTTTGTTTACTATGGAACAAAAGTTACTAAATAGATTAGAGGCTGGTGTGGCATTGTAAACTGTACTTAATTCTTACATAAGCTTTTTTGCTCTCAAAAGGCGTCTGATGCACAGATGCACAGAACCCTTCTCTACTCTCCAGATTCTGAAGGGAGAAAAAGAAATAAAAGAAAAAAGAATCACAGTATTTCTTTTATGACTTAAAAGGCCCAAGTTAACAGATTTTTTGAGTGTCTATGACTGAACTCTAGAATAAGGCCATCAGCAAGGAGGAAATGGCCTGGGGCCCATGGAGGAGGAGATTTCTCCCTAGAGGAAACGGAGTGAACTAGTGAAGCCACATCAACTTATCCATGTCCTTTCATGTCAGAGAGAAGTGTGGGCAATGAGCCAAGAGGACAGAAACTGAACCAACTGAGCCCCCTCTGTCAGGATCAAGCATCACTAGTAGAAAACCTGCCTCCCTAGAAACTTTGCCCTGCACTTGTATACAGTGACATCTGTGAAAGTAGCAAGCCACCACTGGAGCACATAGGCAGGTTTGACATTGGCTGTTGAATTGACACAGTGCTCAACTAAGAGTTATGAGCATGGTGTCAGCTCTTATTTTCTGCTCATGGACTGTCTATATTGTATGCTATTCAATAACTCCTGGTTTGTTTCTCTTGTTTCGTCTGGAGAGAGGGTTCCTCCAACTAGTCTAGACTGATCACAAAGTTAATATCTTGCTTCTGCCTCCTGAGTGTTGGGATCACAGGTGTGCACCACCACACTTGGTTCAAAACAACCTTTTAATCACCAAGTAGTGTTATCTCTCCTTTATAATAATCACCTGATCAGAAAGAATAGGCAAGCTGACAAGAGCAAGTCCTTATTGGAGAGTCTATCCCATCTCAGTCTTCTGCAGACATTCATCTGTTTGTTAATGAAAGCATATGCCTAGACGATTTCCTAAATGCCTCATGGCTGTCAAGTTTCAGAATTATCTTTGCTTCCTCCCACTAAGCAAAGCTGATACAGACCTATAAAACTTAGTAGATCTTTCTTTAGATTTTAATTAAGGAAAACGTGATTGTGGGAGATACAATGATAACAGAGACTATCGTGTACTCTCTTAGCTGTGCATTCATTGTCCTGTTCCTAAGGGCTTGTAATATTGTGCAACCACGTGCAATGCTCTCTCTGTATAGGAAATAAACAGCTTCCCAGTGAAATTCTTTTCTGTAGAATCAGTTACTACCCCCTTTTTTTTTAATTCTCGGATTCTGCTGTTTTAATTTTGAAACTGGCCCTCTGTTTTAATCTTTGTCATTACCAAGTTTATATTCTAAATCAGGCTCTCATTATAGCATTGATATTATCAATTCTGATACAGAAAAATGTTTAAGATAAATTCCCTTTGGTGTTCATGTCGCTGAGACAGTTACATGTAAAATTGAGTATGTTTAAATCATATACCTCCATGCATGTGCCCTTACACATACACTGCAGCTACATGTATTTTACCTTGCTTCGAGGATATTAATTCACGAAGTTCCATTTCAGAGTCACAGAGTCTATGCCATTTTAAAAAGGCAGTAATTCTTGGCACTCACAAACCAGAATGCTGTACAGCTGTTGCATTGTTATACTGTGTACATGTGCATGCATAACTGTCTGATGTTTTTGAAAGGTATGGTGTGGAGCCTCCTGGTCTGATAAAGCTGGAAAAAGAAATTGAACAAGAAGAGACACTTTCTGCCCCATCTCCTTCACCTTCTCCTTCATCAAAGTCTTCAGGAAAGAAGAGTACTGGAAACCTACTGGATGATGCAGTGAGTGAAATTTACAAGTCTTCCAAATATAAAACCTCCCCTGCCCTCTTGGATCATTTTGACTTGAGTGCATGCATTTCAGATCCTCTGGATTCATTTTAACACCAGTGAGACAATTTGTGCTCCTATAGCTCATCTGGAAACTCAAAACTGAACCAGTGATTTAAACTAAAGTGTCATGTAATTCCATTGAACAGGATCTGAAAATCTAGGAAATGAGTCGACTCCTTAAAAATATTTTCAAAAATATTTAATCCTCATTCTTATTAGTTCCTGATAGCTCCTTTCATGGCTAGAATCTTGAGGATTGTTGAGGAAGGGAACAACCCATATAGCAGAAAAGGTGACTGTATTGATTGCCTGGTATTGGCCAAGTTGGCTTTTATTATTATGTTTTTGACAGCTCTTATATATGAAAGGAAGATTGCTTGCAGGGGGAGTGGAAATTGGAAATTTCCTGACTCTAGGAGGAGAGGAGCTTAGGTTCCAGCAGGTGTTTATCTAACTCTAGGGTCTGTCTACTCTGCAGACCTCTAGGCACAGGCTTTGGTGATTAGAACACACTGCAGTGACATCATCTTTATAGGAATAAGTAGGTTCTGGGTTATAGTAAACAATCCTTGCTTATGATAGGGGTATGTCTCAAAAATATTTCCATGTGCTATCATGCTCATGTCTTAAATGCATGAAGACATTAACAAACAAGAAAAAAACATGTCTTGGTATGGTTTATACGAAGTTTGCCTTTATGAGTTATAATTGCCTGTAAGCTTATGGGACATCACAGTGCTAGAGGTATGAGACTGAAGTATCGTCTTGCCAGAGAAAGCAAAGTCCTTGGAAGGCTCGTAGGAACCTTGATGCTTTTAGTTGTTAGGATGCAGGGCTGCCAGAACTGCAGGATCCCTCTCTAATGTCTGAGCTGAGGAAGAGTGGTAGAGTGGACTGATGGGTGCTTTCCTGTGCTGAAAGACATGTTCCCATCTTTTGCTTTTCTTCACATGACAAATTTTTAAAAGGAGAAAGTTAACAAGTTCCTAAGCAACTATGAGTTCCCACAAAGGTAGTATACTTGAGCGTGGCCCACCAAGGTATCCCTGCAATACATTTGAATCCAGTTTGTTTCTGGTAGCCACTCACACCACTCCGAATGTGCAAATAGTCAGAGAGCTTTCCTACCACAGGAAGGTGTTCTTGGAATCCTTTTCGGACTGATCATGTGCCTTGTTTCTCATAATTCTTTATTTTTTAACTTTGTACAATAATTAGATGATGTGGTATAATAACAAAAACATGCTGTTAACATGTTGAGAGTAATTTTTCCATGATGTTTTATGCTTTTTCTTTAGACTTAGCATGAGTTTGCTCCTCCTCCTTCTCCTCTTCCTTCTCCTTCTTCTCCTCCCCCCCTTTGCCCCTTTCCCCTTCCCCCTTTTTCCTCTTTTTCCTTCCACATTTCTCTCTTCTCGATTTTCCCCCTTTTCCCCCTTCTGCCTTTCTCTCCTTCTCCTCTTCTCTCCTCCTCCTCCTCTTCCTCCTCCTCTTCCTCCTCCTCTTCTGCCTCTTCCTCCTCAACCTCCTCCTCTTCCTCCTCCTCCTCCTCCTTCTCCTCTTTCTCCTCCCCACCCCCTCTTCCTTCCCCTCCCCTCTCCTCCTTCTCCTCCCTCTTCTCTGTGCTGCCACACTCATTCTTTTTTTTAATTTTAGGTTTTTTTGCTTACTCACCTTACATCCCACTCACTGCCCCCCTCCAGGTTACCCCTCCACAATCCTTCCTCCACCCGACATCCCCTTCTTCTCTGAATGGGTAGGGTTCCCCTGGGTATCCCCCTACCTTGGCACTTCAAGTCTCTGTGATGCTAGGTGCTTCCTCCCCATTGAAGCCAGGCAAGGCAACCCAACTCCAAGAACATATCCCACATGCAGGCAGCAGATTTTGGGAGAGCCATCAATCCAGTTGGTCAGGACCCACATGAAGATCAAGCTGCACATCTGCTTTATATGATTGGGGAGGCCGAGGTCCAGCCTATTTATGTTCTTTGGTTTGTGGTTCAGACTCTGAGAGCCCCAAATATCCAGGTTAGTTGACTCTGTTGGTCTTACCGTGGAGTTCCTAACCCCCTTTGGGGCCCCAAATCCTTCCTCCTATTCTCCTATAAGAGTCTCTGAGCTCTATCTACTGTTTGGCTGTGGGTGTCTATTTGTCTGAGTCAGCTACTGGGTGGAGCCTCTTAGAGGACAGCATGCTCCTGTCTGCAAGCATAACAGAGTATCATTGATAGTGTTAGGGATTGCTGCTTGCCCATGGGATGTCTCTCAAGTTAGACCAGTTATTGGTTGGCCATTCCCTCAGTTTCTGTTCCATCCCCCATGCCTACGTTTCTTGTAAACAGGATACATTTGGGGTTAAAAATTTTGTGGGTGGGTTTATGTCTCTATCCCTTCACTGGGGTTTCTGCCTGGGTACAGGATGTGGCCTCTTCAGGTTCCATATCCCCAGTGTAGTGAGTCACAGCTAAGGTCACCCCCATTGATTCTTGGGGCCTCCCTTATCCCAGGTCCCTGTTTCCTCCTGGGGATGTTCACCCCTCAACATCCTTGCCTGGGTTGGTTGCAGATTTCCGTTCATTTTCATGGCCATTTAGCCATCTCTCCTGACTGTGCCCATACCTGATTGTGAACCCCCCCATTATCCTCCTCGTCTCCCTCCCTCCGAGTACCCTTGTTCAATCTGCCTCCTATGACTATTTAATCCCCTGTTCTAAGTGAGATCCAAGCTTCCTCATTTGGGCCTTTCTTCTTGTTTATCTTCTTTTGGCTTATGAAGTATAGCCTGGTACCTGTATTTTATGGCTAATAATCCACTTATAAGAGAGTACATACCATGCATATCCTTTTGGGACTGAGTTACCTCACTCAGGATGATATTCTCAATATCTATCATTTCCATGTAAAATTTGTGATGTCTGAGTTTTTAATAGCTGAATAATATTCCATTGTGTAGATGTTTCACATTTTTTAAAATCCATTCTTCAGTTGTGGGACAACTATATTTTTTCTAATTCTGGCTATTACAAATAAAGCTGCTATGAACATAGTTGAGCAAGTGTCCCTGTGATATATTGGGATATCTTTTGGGTGTATATCCAGAAGTATATACCAGTGTCTCGAGGTAGAAGTATTCCTAGTTTTCTGAGAAAGAGTCAAATTGATTTCCAAGGTGGTTGTACAAGTTTACACTCCCACCAGCAATGAAGAAGTGTTTCCCTTCCTCTACATTCTCACCAGTATGTGCTGTCTCTTGAATTTTTAATCTTTGCTGTTTTGGTGGGTGTAAGATGGAACCTCAGAGATGTTTTGATTTGCATTTCCCTGATGACTAAGAACTTTGAACATTTCTTTAAGTGCTTCTAGGCTATTGGCAATTCCTCTATTGAAAATTATCTGTTTAATTCTGTATCCCATTTTTAATTGGGTTATTTGGGTTGTTGGTGTCTAACTTCTTGAGTTCTTTGTCAATTTTGGAAATTAGCTGTCTGTCAGATATAGGGTTGGTGAAGATCTTTGTCTAATCTATAGGCTGCAGATATGTCCTATTGACAGTGTCTTTTGCCTTACAGAAGGTTTACAGTTTCATTAGGTTCGATTTATCAATTGTTGGTCTTAGCGCCTCAGCCATTGTTGTTCTGCTCAGGAAATTGTGTCTTGTACCAATGCATTCAAGGGTATTTCCTATTTTCTCTCCTATGAGATTTAGTATATCTAAATATGCTGAGGTTTTATGCTGAGGTCCTTGATCCACTTAGACTTGAGTTTCATGCAGGATGATAAAGTTGGATCTATTTTCTTTCTTCTACATGTAGACATTTAGTTGTCCTGCACCATTTGCTGAAGATGCTTTCAATTTTCCATTGCATGGTTTTGGCTTATTTATCAAAAATCATGTGTTCCACAGGGCCACACCCATTCTTTCTCCTCCTCTCAGCTGTTACATGTACTTACACTCTTTCCCCCCATATTACAGTGCCTGATGAATATCAACCCAGTGTTATATTTGCTTCCTAATTACTTGGTCAGGAGAACCTCACAGCTCTTACTATGAGGTCCAGGCCTATTATTACCATAGCTTTGTTTCATCACTAGAGTCTTGAAAATCCTCTGTAGAGGCAGTCCTCAAAGGCAGCATGTTTTAAGACAATGCAAGCTGGAGACAGAATCAATAGGATCCTCTTGGATCCACCTGAAGCCCTGCCCCACTGATACCTCATAGTCTTCCTTGTTCTAACCCAGTGCGTTTTACAACTCTTTAGTCCTTTGAACTACCTCTTTCATGTTGAGGTAACTGTTGTTAGTTCCTCAACAGGCTTCATTATACTTTTCTTTTTTTGGATATTTTATTTATTTACGTTTCAGATGCCATCCCCTTTCCTCATTTCCCCTCCCTAGAAACCCCCATCCCATCCCCCCTCCTCCTTTTTGCTTTTATAACATATACTTTTCTTTTAAATGCTTATTTAAATATATTTTATTTTTTTCAATATTTACATTGTGGTACTCTCCATAAAAGATTGTGTGTATGTGCACCTGTGGAGGTGCTTGTGCTTGGGTGTGCACATATATGTTCATGCACACAGAAGATAGAGGCTTACTCTGGTATTTTTCTGTTTACTTCTTTACCTTATGCTGTTGCTGTTATTTTACACTAAACCTGGAACCCAGTGTTTTAGGCCAACTATCTGGCCAGAGAACTTCAGGGGTTCTCCTGTGAACAGGTTTACAGATATGTGATTGCTTTTGTGGTTTGTTTGTTTTTTTGTTTTTGTTTTTTTGACATGGCTAACAAGGATCCAAATTCAGGTTTTCATATATGTATTATAAGCATTTTACCACTAATCTGATTCCTCAGCCAACATATGAATTTTTTCTTGCTGTTTATCACTCTAAATAAATGTCACATCTTACTTATTGTTGTCCAAAGTATTTTTAAGTGTGCAATAAGCTAGTTATGAATGGGACCTAAATGTCCATTCTTCCCAAGGTGCAATCTTATTTTTACTGTCAAGACTAAGTCTACATCTACCCAGCTCCCTGAGAGATATGCTGTCTAACAAAGTCTCTTCTTTGTCCTCTTTATTCAATCATTTTTTCTGAACCATATGCCCTGTGTACTCTGCTGTGTTGTTAGAAATGGAAGAGGTGCTGCCATTTGAGCCCATTTACCAGAACCAGGGAGAAAGAGCAAGAATGCTCCCATATCTTTAGGAGCTTGTCTCATGGCTAGCCATTCTTCATCTTTGGGGAGAGGAGAAATACAAAGAGAACCCCAAGGTGTAGAATAACCTTGAGAGGGAATAGATTCTATTTTACTAATATTCCAACTCAGAAAACAACAACAACTACTACAACAACAACACCAACCAGTCATAACACTGAGAGGGATTAGATGCTGTTTTATTAATATCCCAATTCAGAACAAAACAAAACAACAACTACAACAACAGCTACAACAACAACCAGTAATATAGAGACCCAGGACAGCAGGACTCACAAGTTGCTGTGGCTCTAAGGTCTGTTCTTTCTGTTCTTCCAACCCAAATCTATGTGGGCACTTATGAGAATATAACTCTTGGTTTAATGGAAGAATGTGCATTAGTGGACACATTTAATGCGGAAAGTGGACACATCTGTCTCTTACCAGTTAGAACTCTTGTGTCCTGTACAATGTTTAGATTTTAAGCATTTCTAAAAGAATTCTTAAAGAAACACTACTACCACAATGCCTGTGGGGAAAGATTTGGTTAAAGTAAGAACTACAAAATATTACTTTCTCAGTCTGGCATTCAGAAAGCTTGCCAACATCATGCAAATTGTATCGAGCTCCCTCAAAAATCTAATTGACCTGGAATTTCTCCAAATATATGAGAACGTAGACCTTTCTTATAGTCGTCTTCATTCTTCAGCCTTGTAAACTGCATTGAATTTTTTTGCATTAATGGTTTTTCACTGAAGTATTTTATTTCGGGGACAGTAGGACAGAAAGAAAAGTAATCTGAACCCCATTAATGGTTTAAATTGGACCCCATGTATCTAAGGTAAAAAGGAAATAGCTAGCATTGTAACCACTATGCCACATACCAGGTACACATAGCCATTTGGATCTGAACTTAATGTAACCCAATAAATGTACTAAAAAAAGAGAGAGAAGAATTTAAGAAAAAAGGGCGATTCTCTAAGTTTCTGTGTGTAGTTAGCACAGAGTTATTTTGTACACAGTTACTCTATGTTTCTCCACAAAGGAAAGAAAGATGAGGGTATGGAAGAGTGAAAGGAGGAGGCAAAGGAAACAAGCAGAAAAGACTGAGAAAGAAAGGGAAGCCGAGCCAAGATGATCATATTCCAGCGGACGACTTCAGAAAGAGCTAGGACTGAAACCACCTTTGTTTGCTCACATTTTCTTGTCTGATTCTTAGGGGAACCACAGGGAAATAGGTGACCTTTTATGTAGACAATAAAGCCCCCCTTCCTTAATCAAGATCTCTCAGAGGAAACACAGTGGTGTCCATTCAGATTACTTTCTTCCCTAAGTCCTGGTGGAGTGATTCTGCCATGATAGGCATAGAGGTCGGCCTGAGGGTTCTCTTTTCGTCCTGTTGTGTTGAGCTTGCTCTTACAGGGTGTTAAATGCAGCTCTAAGAAATGGCTCTCCCTGTCTCCCTTCTCTTCATCAACTTCCTCAGTCTGGGGATGAGAGATAATATAATTCTGAGTAACTAGACCCCTCTTGAAATCTCATTTCAGCCCCAATCCGGCTCAGTTCCTAGCCAAGAGCAGAGCACCTGGCAGACAGAATTACCTCATGGTAATGTAAGAAGCAGGAATGTCATCATTCACAGTTAACTATGTGTTTCCACTGCCCCTAGTCTGGCCTGTTCTCTTCTATTTTTGCTTCTGTCCTTGACACAAATGAAAAAAAAAAACAAGGCCTTGATTTAAAAACACAAACAAGTAACAACAAAACAATAACAACAACAACAAACAAGTCCATTTTTTTTTTTTTTGTAGTGAGGATGAAGTAAAGAAAGGGCAGGCCACTTGAGAAAATGCTTCTCATGGTTATTTGATGCAAACAGATTCTATGTTTTTTCTGAGGATCCTACAAGTTGGAGTTGTCTCCCATACAGTCCCAGGGTTGTCCTTTCTCAGTAGTGCATTTTCTCAATAAGTTATGATGCCTTGGGCTGTGAGCTTTGTTGTTCTCTGGGCTCCTTGGTGACAAAGACCTCATCCCTGTCTTCTAGATCCTTTGTGCTATCTTCTTTCTTCTCCCCACCACCCTTACAGTAGTGGTAAGGATGCTATGTGTTTCTGTGACATATTAACAAACGTCTGTAGGAAGAGGTATACACAGAAAAACAAAACAGTGAGCCGTCAAACTCTGTGCCCTATGAGCTCATGGCTAGCTCAGAATGTAAGTCTGTTTTGTAAGGGATTACATCACTATTTCCCTTCATGTATGTTACTTGCCTTAGCTTTACCATGACAGGATGGCAAAAACTCAGATTTCAAATCTACAGCCTGATTGCTAACTGAATGATAGTTGTTCCCTTACTGTTCAGTGAAAGTTGTCTCCAAGGCTATCTAGATCCAAGACTCCTCTGTTCCACTGATGTCCTTCTGTGTCTTGGAGGATCCATGCCTTAAAATCTTCTCTGTTCCATTAGGGTGCTATGCTTTATGTCTAGGATTTCAGATGAGGTAAAATATTATCTTAGCCTTTAAGGAACTAAACTCAACAAGGTGATGCTGGAGTTGATCAATATTAATTTATTAGGTTACCATCACAGTAAAGTCCCAGAATCTTAGGACTGTGTCAGTATAAAATTTAGGATTAGAAAGACACTGATAGACATGAGTGTTGTGAAGTTAGTTCTTTCACTTTCAAAATAATGTTACTTCTGTTTGCTTCATTGAGGCTTGCTGGTCACTCATAGCTCCAGGTTTAGTGAGAGTCTCAGTCTCAAGGAATAAGGCAGAGAAAGATAGAAGCAGTCACCTAGTTGCCTCCTACACATGTACATATATACACATACACGCACATATGTGTACTCTAGCACATGTGTGTGTATTTGTGTATACACACACGTACACACTCAGCAAATGAATAAATAAATAAATAAATAAATAAACAGCAATGGCTGGGTTTCTTAATGGCCAGCTGTAAGTGCCACCCTTTCATATTTGTTGAATTAATCTTACTATATAAAATAGTAGTTGCTGACAGCAGATTAATTAAATTAAGTATCAGTGTTGAATGTATGGGATATTTGGGTTACTCTAGATTGTCTCAAAGAGCTTTCTCATTTAAAAACATTCTAGAAGTTTCTTGGATTATGAAAACAAATGAATTTCCTAAAGCTGTTCTTAGGATTACAGTATTGATGTCTGTTCATGAGAACTCCAGAGGAACATTAATCAGAATCATGTTTTAGTTTTTCACTATATATGATACCTAAGATGAGGTAAAATGTGCAGGAGTCTGTGAGTAACATGTTAGTAAAATTTTAGGGGGAAACCTTAGAGTTTCAAAAAAGAAAAAAGTTTCCAAAAAGATATTTGTTCTTCATGTATTTCAAAATTAAATAGATTGGTATAGTGGGGTTGTCTTGAAGAAGCATTCTGTCATGTGCATTTATTTGCCCTAGCTTTCAGTGTGGTTGCCTATGCATGCTTTATCTTAGCTCTTAATATCTTTGCTTTATGGACCCCACACATACTGTCTTTTGGGATCTCTAGTTCATTGTCTGTTACCATGCCAACTGCTCTCATTCTCCCTCCTCATCAGTATCATCATCAGCTTCACACTCAGAGATTCAGAAGACACTTTGAGAGCCTGATCTTCACATTTCAGCCAGAGTTCCTAGGCTTATATCATTTCTGATACAGAACAAGTCTAAATGATTGACAGTTCAGCCATGATTGCGCTCTTGGAGAATAATCACATGCAACTTCATTGGAGACAGTGATTGTGGTCCTCTATTTCAGGTAAAAAGAATCTCTGAAGATCCACCCTGCAAGTGCCCAACCAAGTTCTGTGTGGAGCGGCTCTCTCAAGGTCGATACCGAGTGGGAGAGAAGATCCTCTTCATCAGGGTAAAGTCCTTTATCCCCTTCTCATCTACATGAGCGTTTTTCTCAGCCTGAATCAGAGAAAAGGTCAAGGGAAGTATGACATATGACTAATCAGGAACTCCCTCTGCTGTCACTAAACCTGTGCAGAGCAGTAGACATGACAATGTACTACTGAAGGCTGGGTGAACAGAGCATATCAGAGCATACAGGAGTATCATCTCCAAAGGGACAGGGTTGCCATTTATGTTTCCTGTATTCCTTTCATTTCGATAGAGTGGAATGAAAACGTGCCCTTCCAGGACCTTCCATTTATCACAGTGAGGAAATAAATCATCATCCTTTTGCTTCTTGTCAGCTTTCCAGATTAGTTCAGCAAGAGTTTTCCATAGGTCTGGATTAGGGATCAGTGTGGTAAGATTGAAAACTCTCTAGGGAACTGAAGATAGAGCACAGTTAGGAGGAGGCTTGCTTTAAACTTTGGGGTACTAGGTTTGATCCCTAACACCAAAATCCCCAAAAAGTACCTCACTACAGTATTCTGGTGTAACAGTGACTGAAGCTGTTCCCACCAAGGTTTATGAATTAGAAGAGAGAGAATGCCCTAACGTAAGTCATCAGAGTTCTCAGGGGCTGAAAGGGATTCAACTTAAAGCGTTTTACTCAGAATCTGCTTTGCTAACAGTCAAGAGAGTCAGTTCTCTCAAAACAAGCTGTCATATTTGTTAAGGCTAAAAATTCTTCAAAAAATGGACATATAACTATGTATATACCCCCAGAAAGCTTTGGTTCAGAGAAGTGCTTTTTTTTTTTTCAGTGTCCTTTGGGCTCTTTCTAAGGGAAGTATTCTCTATTCACTTCTCATCTCAACATGTTAAAAATATCTTGGTTATGTGGTAGAACTGAAGCATCTTAAGGAATGCATCAAGTAAGAGTCAGGGACAGCAAACACTCATCAGTGTTGACTGTAGGCTCCGGGCTCCTATAGTCTAAAGGAGGTTGATTCTCAACTAGAAAGCTTGTCAGTGTGAAACTTTACACTTGTTAACTTAGAACAACAGACCTCCTTAAGAATCTGCAGCACTGACAAAGAAATAATTATCTTAATTTGATCTTAAACCTTATTAATCATTTTAGATTTTTTCCTAATTTCAGGGTAATATTTACTTGATATAAACAAATACAGGTAATAATAGCTTTTGTGGTTCAGAGTGATATAAAAGCTGACCAGTACTAGAGGTTTCTGAATCACCCTGGGTCACAGCACACCGGCTGCTATTGTTGCCTTATTTTTTGTTGCAAGGAAAACACGCATGTTTAAAGCTCAGCAGCCTGCTTTTACATCACCATATTAAATAATGATGCTTTAGAGTCTCTGTGGATGCATTAACATTTTACCAGGCTAATTGCTCAGTTGAGAATCAGCTTCCATTAGAATATGAGACCCCAGAGCCTACAGTCAAAACAAAGGACCTTATGAAACAGCCTTGTATTTTTGTGATAGAGATGTTAATAAATTGGACGCTGTTTCCTCAGATGTCACCTAGGATCTACAAGCAAAAGAATGCAGTGTGCATGCTTAATTATGTCTGATTTTCATGTCTGTTCAATTATCAAAGACTTTATGGCCAGCATAAGAGTTGATAGTAGTTATTAGGTGTGCTAGTTTTTGATGGTTTGTCTTAGTTTTCAGGAACTGTTCCATATCTGCTAATTTTATTCCATCATTTATAGAAGAATTAAGGCTTTTATTGTGAGTGAAATCATCATGTTTCTGGGTGACAGTGTTTTCACTTACTATCGCACACTCAGGCAAGCCTGTAAAATCATGACCCACAGGGAGGTTGCTCACTGTCTGGCAGCAAGGTGCAGCATCAGGCTGTTAAACATGCTCACAACAGTTTTTAATGAGACACCACCACAAGTCTTGCATTTAAGTGGTTCTACTCTTTTCTAAAATGTTTCATGTGATTTTTAAAGCAAGTACAGATTGAATGAAATTTTGTAGCTTTGGTTAAACTATGAAACACATTTGGTCACAAAGCTAATGTCATGAATATATGTTCATAAATATTTTAATAACATTTTTATTCTTGAGAACGTCATGTATACTTTATATCCACCCTCCTCTCATTTGTACTACCCTCCTACACTCTCCCTCCAAATTTCACATATCGTTTCTGTCAACGCATTGAGTCAGATTTAGGGTGCCTGTTAGACACAAGTGTGGGGCCATCAGTGGAGCACGAGCTACTTACCAAGAGCCACTCACCTAAAAGTAACTGGGTCTCCCTTTGAGTACCCATCACCTACCAAAACTCCTCAGCAACTCTCCCTCATCCCTGCTGGTTTATTGACTGGGTTGATCTTCTGCAAATAGTTGAGTGTGTGTTCTGAATTCATGAATGGAGTGCAGTGGCCATGAAGGGTCGAACAGACACTATTCACAGCAGTCTTCTCTATCTTACAATTTTTCTACCTCCCTTCGATGATGCTTCCTGGGCTCTGGCATCAGGGATTGTGATCTAGAGACTTACTATGTAACCATAGCATTCCACAGGTACTAACTCTCTGAACACTGACCAATTGTCTCTGCAGTAACTGCCACCCACTTCATAGAGAGGCCTTCAGAGACATGTTTGTCCTGTGAGTCTGTGTCTACCCTAACAGAGTGAGAGGAATCTCAGGCAATGTCTTCTTATCTTAGTAGAGACTTGCTTATTGAAATTTGAGACACCCGACTTGCACCCATAGTGCACATTTCTCTATTTCTCCCCATGTCAGATGAGTAGACTAAATATAGCCCGCGGCTAACACATGTTATCACGTGATGCTTTGACGGATGCTTTAGAGTTTTGGCTGGCTGAGCCCTTTGTAGTGCATTCTCATTGTGCTGTAACAGTTTGTGTGTGGAAATGGTAGGGATTGCTCAGAAATTCAGTGCTGTTTAAGGTTGTAGGATGTAATACTTTAATTATAGATTTCTGAACACTTGGATTAAAGGGCAAGTGGCAATAGTGGAATCCATAGATATAGAAGGTGTGTCACCGTGCCCAATAGCTTAATTACATTCTTTTGTATCAACATATTTTAAATTTTAAACTTAAAATTAGATTTATCATGCTTCCTGAAGCTATCAAATACATCTTTGTCTTCTTTAATACATTCTTGAATATTGTTATATTAAATATACAGACAGTGAAACATATGCCATCTCAGGCTTCATCCTCAGTTATCCATCCATTTTAAGAGATGTCTTGTTTCCCTAAGGACTTAAGGAGCCCGTTGACTTCAAAGAACTATGCAGAATTATTTAAGGTAATTTAAAACATTGGACTTCAATCTTAAAGACAACACAATGATAAAAACACAGGCTCAGATAGAATTAGCCCTCAGAGAGTCCTACCTACAGGGCAAGTAGGCCTCTATCTCTGATTCAGGAAGACCTCACTGGGACCATTTTGTGATTGTATAAGTACAAGAGCATAATTTCTCTTTGTACATTGAAAGAAAAACAATAATGCCAAACTAAATTTTAAAAAAAGTAAATAAGAATGTGTGTGGCATTCAGAAAAAGATCCAGGAAGATATTTTATAGAGGCTATCTGTTAAGTGTACATATTATCTGTGACTTTCTAGAAGAGAGCATACAATTAAGATAGATTTAAATACATGCTGCCAGATGCTTATGTAGACATATGTTCATACGTGCATGTTTCTAGAGGGACTGAATTAGTCTCTACCCGAATTTATTGAAACCTGTGATACAGGGAACAAATCTCTATGATTTTTCAACTCTGATTTTAGACTATATCTTACTAATCATCTCCCAAATTAAAAAATATGATCTCTAACTGATGTACAATAAGTTCACAAACCAGATTTTCCCCTGTATCTTTCATGAACAAAACTATGGGGCTGCCTTGTGGGAGTGGGACTGAGGTGTTGGTTTACTGAGTAAAGCACTTGCCACACAAGCATGGGACCTGGGTTTATCTGACCAGTAAAACTGCACTTGATAACACTTGTCTATAACCTCAGCTGGTGTACAGAAGAATTCCTAGATGCTTGAAGGCTATCTAGCCTGTTTAGGCAGCAGCAATATACTAAAGAAATTCTTAAGAAAGTAGAAGGCAAGGATAGACCACTGTGGCTTTTCTGAAACCTCTGTGTGTTTACTGTGTCATGTGTACACTTGTGGTCATACACTAGAACATATATGCTTATGTACACAAACATATCATACACACATGGTGTTTTATAAAACTAATTTTTGTTTTTTATTTTTTCCATTAAAAACAGCTTGGCTTCTATTCTGAAGGTAGAAACTTACTGTCATCCAACATAAATTTCTCATTTATTTCAGGATGTAGGGGGTCAGGACAAAAAAAAATCTAACAATTTTTTCAGCAATATTTTAATATTTCCAGTCAACCAGACAAGTGCTTCACAGTAATTCAAACCAAAGGCTTCTGACTGCTGCCTGGATTCCTTCATGTTCTTTTTTTCCTTCCTTCACCTGCTGTCTAGTGGGGCCTCCCATATTGAAAACTCATCTGCACCACTAATCTGTATGAGCATGTGAGAAGAGATGTCAGAATTCCCAACCAGATGAATAGTGTTCAGTCTCACTGAGATTGCTAATGTGTCCCCAGGTGAGCCATATGAACATCTGGGAACCTGATAGAATGCATATTCTTTCACCTTCCCAGAGTGAAACAAAACCACTTAAGATTCAGGTCAAACAACCATACTAGTATTGGGAATTGAACCTGAGTCTTCTGGAAGAGCAACAGTGCTCTTAATTGCTGAGCCATCTCTCCAGCCTCCAGAAATGACAATTTTAAAGACAACTATATGCTAGGGGATGGTTGTATACATGGTTAAGTAAGAAATAAACTATTTAGTTTATGTAGAAATAACATATGAATAAAATGTGAATAGAATAGTGATAATCGAAAGATTTTTTTTAAAAAGATTTATTTATTTTATTTATATGAGTACACTGTTGTTCTCTTCAGACA